CGAGGGGTGTCAGGGTGGCTGATGCACCAGCAGACACAGGAAAGAGCCTCCCAAGCGCCCGGTTCACTGGGCACTTTTAGAACCATGGGCTGGAAAGGACCTCAAAGCCCACCCAGCCCCACATGGGCAGGGACACCTCCCACCAGACCAGGTTGTTCCAGGCCTCATCCAGCCTGGCCTTGGACACTTCCAGGGCTGGATCAGCTTGGGTTATACCCTCCTGCTGTCACATACAGCACTGCCTGGAGCAGGGCTTCCAGCAGCCGGAGCTACAGCCCCGGAAAAAGCCGAGTAGCAGCCTCACCTGGAAGAAGTTGATTTGCACAGTGCCGTTGCTGAGGTGCAGGATGATGGCATTGCGGGTCCGGAACCACGTGTAGAGGTAGGGTAGACGGGCCAGCTCATCTCCTTCCCGTGGTGTGATGTTAGCACCCGCCTTCAGCAAGTGCTCGCTCATGTAGTTCCGGAAGTATTTCAATAGTGTTATCTGCAGATGGGAAAGGCTGTGAGCAGACAGGCTGAGGATGGCCTGAAAGGGGGCTGCTGTCACAGTCCCAGAGTCTCCCTATGTCTCTGAGCTTGAGATGTCACTGCCCAGACTTGTGCAAATTCTCACACTCTCAGTTAACTCGGGCTGTGACACCCAAGAGTCACTTTGCTGAGCACGTTGGTACCCGCAAGTCTTGTGAGCACTTATTGCTGTGAAACTGCTCACAAATGAGCCTCTGACAGCAACGAGAAACAGCCTGTTAGAGCTGTCAGTGCCTGTCCCCGGGGCCAGGTTTTGCCAGCAGAATGCCACTGACCCCAGGTCTGGATGTTTCTCCCTGGAACCCACCCTGCCAGAGCCCAGCAAGGCTGGCAGAAGTCTCACGGGGCGGGACCCCGTCCCCAGGACTGACCTTCTTGCTCAAGGCAGAGGGGTAGGATCTCACGGTGAAGAAGGACTCTGTGCCGTTTTGCTCGATGTACTGCAAGCTGTCATTGTCGTTGTACAAGATGAGCCGAGTGGTGTCGTTGAAGAGAACCCCAACACTGTTGTCGCACAGCTGGTAACCTAGGTCATGAGGGAGCCCGTTAGGCCTCAAACACACGGCCACCAGTTGTGTGCAATACAAAAGGCGGAGGGTTGTGTCATCTGGGGGTTCCCTGAGAGTCCCCCCCAAATCCCTGCAAGGTCTAAGGATCCTCCTCTTCGTGGAGGCCCAGGGACACTTTTACTCCTCTGGGTCTGTCGTCGGTGGGTACATGTGCTCGCTGGGGAGGACATCCAGCCACACGGCCAGTAGCCGCTGTCCACCTCAGAGTGGCCAGGGCTGATGTTCAGTGACCACTACCCTGGATTCACAGGGTATTTGGTAGCGTTCCTGGCAGCTATCTTGGACACTCCCACTGGAGCGCTGTGATTAAAGCACCAGACCTACCCAGTGCCCAAACCCAAGCTTCCCCCAGCCTCTCCAGAGCCCTGAAGTGCTGCCCCCGTGTTACTTACCTAGGCCGTATTTATCCGAGTAGTCCACCCATTTGCTAACCCAGAAGATGGGAATGCAGGCTGGATCTTCAGCTTCTTCTGCAGAGAGGAAAGGCGTTTGTTAGAAGACCCCTCACGGCCCCCTGCGCACCCCAGCGGGAAGGTGAGTAGCTGCTGCTTCCAGTCTGCAACAGGCCAGCTGCTCTCTCCCTCAGAGAAGGGCAGAGGGACTGAGAAGCAGGTTACCCAGGAAGGCCAGGATTGTCCCCATACTCACCTTGCCTCACTGCCACCCTCTCAGAGGGCTTGGCTGAGTTGACTGCAGTCAGCTGCTGTAACATGTCGGCTAAGAGAGTGTCAATGTCAGCGGCAGCTTCCGGCTCCGGCACCACAGCTACATCTTCTTTATCAGGCAAGTGGTCCAGCGCATGGCTGTCTGGCCCTGGGCCGGGAAAGAAGTGAGCGCGCAGGCGTGACGGGGAGGCAGCAGACCCGCATCCCACCCTGGCTACAGGAAACGCGTTACACACCACAGAGCTAAAGCTAGTGCTGGCCCTTCCTCCCTGCCGGGCAAAGGGTGAGGAGACACCTCTCCCGCTCACAAAACGCTCCAGGTTTTCATGAGAACGGGGGAAGGCAGCGCCACATTCCCCACCGATGGTTCTGGGGCTCTCATCCGGCATTGCCGGCCCCTCTCGCCTCCGGACGCCTGCTCTTACCTTTGTTGAGTGCAGTCAGCGGCTTCCGCCCGCTCAGCTCGAGTGCACTGGGAGCAATGGAAAATCTAGGAGCAATGGTGAGACAGCTGGTGGGCAAGTGGCCGGGGATGTACCCCGACGTGAAGAACTCGTCATTCAGCAACTCGTCGATAGTCGGGCGCGTGGCAGGGTCAGATCTCAGCATCTTCTGGATGAGGTTAGCAGCTACGGGGCTGATGTGCTGAGAGGAGACAGGCAGAGTTTGCAGGTGAGGGTCAGGGAGCATTGGATATACAGCCCGGGGGAGGTTCTGCTCGGAGCAGGGACCCTGTGCCACGTCGGGCAAGCGGCTCGCAAGCCCAGGGAACCAGAGCCAGGCAGGTATGGAGACTGTGTCCCGACCGCACGCGCAGCTTTGTCAGCCAACTTTAGCAAGACCAAATCAACAGCAGCGGGATGAGCTGGGAGCTGGCCCAGACCTCATGGACTTGAGCATCTCAACTGCCCAGCTCGGATTTCTGCTGGATCACAGGGGAGCTGCTGGCTCCCCAGGAGGAAGCTGTTCCTATAGGTTCACTCCACCACCGACTGAAACGTCCCAGCACCGCACCGTTGTGCGAGAGCCCGTTAAGTGCCGGGAACGGGACGGCACAGCGGACGGCCGACCGGGAACCGCCGCGAGGACAACGGATCCGCCCACGGGAAGCGCCATACCTTGGGAATGGTATACTCGTTCTTCTTGATCCGGATGTACGTTTCTTTGAGACAAGAACTTTCAAAGGGCGGTTTCCCCACCAGCAGAGTGTACCTGCGCGGTCACAGAAGGGCATCAGCTGTGCTAAAGGGACCGCAACTTGTGTGCAGAAGCGACCCCGTCCAGAGCACACCCTGGGAATTCCCTGGCAGAGGGAACGCTTGGCATGGGACAGGCAGGAGTGCAGACAGCTACACGTACTATGCCTGGCTCCTGCAAAGGGAAGCTGGGGGCTAGTACCCTCTGGGGGAGATTTCCCGTTAGGAAGCACTGGCTTTTGGGAAGCGCCTTTTGCCGTGTGTCCGGACGCGCCCCACGCGAGGCACAGGCGCCAGCACACGGGCTCTGGGGACAGCACGCCCAATGCTTCAGCTCGCCCCGAAACCCAGAGGGGCCAACGAGACCTGGACCTCAGGGACTGCCCAACCCCCGGAGGCGTTTTGACTCACATGATGCAGCCGATAGACCAGATGTCCACCTCAAAGCTGTGCCCCTTCTTGTCCAGCACCTCCGGGGCGATGTAGTTGGGGGTCCCACACAAGGTCTTCTTGCGCTCACCGTCGAACTCCACTTTGGTGGCCAGGCCAAAGTCACCTGGGAGAGGGAGGGGGGACAGGGTGTGACCAGGGGGGCCGGTCCCCGGGGCGGGGGCCCCCACCACGGGGGGGGGGCTGACGGAGCATCGCATCGCCGACACCTACCGATCTTCACCTCCATGTCGTCGCTGAGGAAGAGGTTGCCCAGCTTGAGGTCGCGGTGGATGACGCGGTGGCTGTGCAGGTACTGGCAGCCCAGGATGATTTGGCGCAGGTAGTACCGCACCTCGGGTTCGCTCAGCGCCTTCCGCCGCTTGTGC